GAGCCACGTGATCTGCAACTGGACCTGCATTAAAAAGACGAAGAAGACGACCTGAAGTAGTTGGAGGATGACATGTTTACACTAGATAACATGTTTACATCCACGGCTGCCATGTGGTTTATTAAGTGTAAAAATATATTCAATGGCATCCAATGAGATCAGCCTGTGATATTACTGGCTCTCCCATACTGTTGCTTATTTGCTATCATTTTAATTTTCCTTTTGTTTTGGCTGACTGTGGAATAATTTGTAGAAAGGAAATAAAAATGCTTGGGATGTATTTCATCAGAGTAAGAAACTGTAATTCACTGAACCCAGGATGAAATAAATATTTCAAGAAATAATCTGCAGGAACTTGTTTGCAGGGTAATTTTCCAATTAATTCTTTGTTAAAAACGTTTACAGACCAAAAAAGGTATTTTTCTTTTCCTGGTCAGTTTCCTCAGGTTAGTCTGACAACATGGCTTTATCCACACAACATGCTAAATGTTGCTTAGTAGATTTCTTTCTTCTTTTTTTTTTTTTTATTGTTTTTCTAAATATTTTCGAAGATATTCTTAGAAATAATAAATAAAAGGATGTTCCACCAGTCACTAATTTAAAGTGATTAAAAGGTCCAAAGATTTACTTTGGCATTTAAACCAGTAAAAATGTGTATTGTAGATTTAAAGTTCAGCTTTTAGATTATTGGGATTTTTTCCTCATAGCAACCTAGAAAATCTTTAGTGAGTTCTCTTTATATTTTTACCATTACATTTTATCTGACATCAGTATTGGTCCAATAGCAGAATATTTGTTAGATGAATCTATATTTGAAAAAACCCAAAAGCTATTTAAACACATTCATCTTTCTTTAATGTGTGAAACATGAAAAGAGTTTCACATAATGATCTTCCTAACATTAATTATCACCTGAATCGTCAAAACACAGCTGCACAATGTTTTGTGACTCTTAGCTCACCCTCTTTAGCTTTTGCTTAAATCTCTGCACTTTCATCTGCAAACTGAAAGAGGAGTCACTGGTGAAACCTGACTCTGAATGAGTCCTTGTGAAGTGGCGTTCTGTGATCTTTGTTTAAACTAACAACCGTCTCCGAAAACATTTAGAAGAATACACTTAACGAGGCGTCTGCTGTAACTCTGGACATTTCCATTTGATTAAATGATGATTATGTGTTGCAGAAACAATTAAGGGAAAAAAACTAAAAAGAAGAAAAATCCAGCCTTATTGGTTCTACATTGTGATGTTTAGCCTTAAGCCGCATTAAGCCCCAACGCTTCGTAGCTGTGCGAACATGTAAAATGAGCTGCATTCTTCAAGGCTTAATATGAATGTGTGTTAAGGGTCCCCGATGGCAGAAGCAAATGCAGACATAGTTTCCCCTCAGGTAGGATGAGAGATTTAATAAAGAAATGTGAGGGTTTTTCAAAAGCTGCCTTATTTCATATGCCTTTGGATGTGTGTTTGGCGGGTGGGGGGGTCTAGCAGTGTGTATAAATCATCTTCTGTAGAGAACAAGACAGAAGCAGTTAAAAGAGGGAATCCACCACAGGCGTTTTCTCTTTGAACTCCTCTGCTTCTTTCATTAAGCTTTAGCAAATGGGTGGCTGACCTGAGGCACGAAGCAACAGTTAATCTCATGTTTCCACATCGGCTTCATTAGATGACATTCATTTTGTGGCCCTCTGTTGTTTTTATCTCCTAAGTCGTATGGACAGTTGTTGCATTTTATGTGGGAAGCTCCTTTTCGCCAGTCTTATCCCACCTGTGTGATCTCCTTGCAGGTAGCGGGCGTGTGAACCTGGTGCCTCTGCCCCCCGTGGTGACCAGTCCCCGGGATGTGGCCCTGGCTGCAGTCATCTGCAGCGCTCTGGCTACGGTCCTGCTGGCGCTGCTGGTTCTGTGCGTCATCTACTGCAAGAGGCAGCTGCTGGAGAAGAAACCCAGTGGTCAGTCAGGATGCTCTCACACTACATGTGTCATTTTCTTTTATCTAAATCCCTTCTTTATTAATTTGTATGGAAGAGGATTAGGGCTACTGAAAAAACAAAACAAAAAGTTAACTGATTTTTAAATTTTATTCTGACTTTAATCTCAGAATTCTGACTTTAATCTCAGAATTTTGACTGAATTCTGACAATAAAAAAAGTCAGAATTCTGAGATTAAAGTCATAATTCTGAGAAAAAAGTCAGAATTCTGAGAAAAAAGTCTGAATTCTGAGAAAAAAGTCAGAATTCTGACTTTTTTCCCATACTAAACTGAAATAAAATGCAAAAATCAGTTAACTTTTTTTTCCACTGGCCCTAATCCTCTTCCGTAAATTTGGCTTTACGACTCCATGTAAACGATTGGTAGAGATATGTTAAAAAATAAAAACTTTTAAAACTGATCAGAAAATTTAGGAAATACTTTTATTATTATCATTTTAATTTCTAGTTTTGTCATAATAAATAAATTTAATAAATTTGAAAACTATTGAAATGCTGATTTATTTCAGTAACTATGGGAAACACAGGTTATAGGTTAATAACAAACAGACCTTTGTTTTAAAGCCTTTATTTTGTTAATTACAATGATTTTCTGCTTCTAGATGAGGAAAACATGAAATTTAAGATTAGAATATTACAAAAGACCAGTAAACATGTAATAAATTCAATTTAGATTCAATTTTAAAATACAGTTTTATTCGGAAAACTTAACCTCCATGAGAGCGCAATGAAATCCTGGGACTTTCTAATGAATATTATGCTGCTGGGTCATTGCAACGCCTCTGAAATAATTATTTTAAGACATGAGCAGAGTCCACAGATAGTGAGAAATGCATCATTAGATGGTGTTTTGTGATGTGACAATGATGAATTTACGGTATAAGATATTTGTGAAGAATCATTTGATTGTTATCGGCATGTTTTACATTTTTCCTAATACCGTGCAGCCCTACTTCACTTTAGATTAAAACACATGATAATGAAAAGAAACGACTAAACAAACAAAGATGAAGCAAGATAAAGCATGGGGAAAAATGTAAAGACGTGCAGTTTGCAGAGGAGATGTTGGTTTGAAGGACGAAGAAAGCAGTTGGGTTGATGAAGATGATGATTGTAAGAGTGAAATTCTAAGATGATAAAAACTACAAAAAAAGGATTAAAACTAAGATACCAGGTTTTTAAAAAGTGGAGTGAAAATGATCATATTTGAAATTATTGTGAACTTGTTTAAATGCATCTTAAATAACCTTGAATGAAGTTAAATTGAATAACTGGTTTACACTTTTTTTTCATTACTACCATAAGATAAACACAATTATTTAAGTTAATATAAGAATTCAACAAAACTACAAATATAATAACCTCATTAAAAGGTTGCGGTAAGAATAATGGCAAGGCAAATTTATTTGTAAAGCACAATTCAGTACAAAGACAATGCAAAGTGCTTTACATGATTAAAATACAGGAAGATAAAACAGAATCAAAGCAAGTAGAAAAAAAATCAATAAAAAATAAATAAAATAAAAAATGCAGAAACAAAAAAAGAATATTAAAAACAGT